CCCCCACTAATGCCTGAAGCTGGTGACGGTGCTGTGTGTGTCTCGTTCCTGATAATAGTTTTTGGACTAACTCTAAACTACATCCAAAAATTCTTTGTCCTAAGTTTTCCCTTCCATGAAGAAAATTCAATATTTTTCATGAACCTAGTGAAGGAAATGCTGTTTGGAGTTATTTTTACCTATATTTTTGGACAATCTTGGGTTGAAGATTAATTGCACTGTGTGAACTAGATTCTGTTCAAATATAGTTTACATTGAACCTTATCTTTATTCTACATTAAGGGTGACAGAGGCCAGTTAGTTAAAATAGCTTTTCAGTATTGTATTCTCAAGTTATCTCAGACACTTGAAGGGACAAAGTCAGTTGAATGTGTAACAGGGAAAAATGGCACGCTATGAGAAATTAGCAAAACAACAAAAACTCTAACTAAACCAAGGATCTTTGAAGGAAAAGTCGCAGGAAATTGAATTAATAAGGACTCAGACACCAATATTTGACTTCAAAAAAAGGGACAAAAAAAAAATTTATTAACGAAAAAGTACAGGAAAAATGAAAATAAACTAAAAGGACTCAAGGACTAAAAACCACCCAAAGACTAAGACTTTAAAAGACTCAAAACCAAAACCAAAACCCAAAACCCAACACAGTGCGTAAAAATGGACCTTATGAGTTTACACTCCGACTTCAATCACTGACTCCCAGCAGAATAGGACTCAAGCAGAAAACCACACTCCAGTTAGGAGGAACAACACATAGGTGCATGTGAAGGTGACTGGTCTCTGCTGATCTGCTACACTGAGCGTGACCAGACCATGTGGCAACTCTATATGGGGGAAGCTAGGGCTTAAACAAATGAACAGGGGGGAACACTACTAAAAAAAATCAAGAATTCTAAACTAAAGTTAAACATTTTAAAGGGGAACTACTTCTATGTAAAAACGTGTACTTAATAAAATAAACATTTCTGGCTCTGCCACAAATGCACTTGTCTGGAACTTTACTTACAAGCTTCAAAGTTTGTAGCCCCTTTACACCAGCAAACCTTAAGCACTTGGGTCGTGGCAGTTCCAGGATTTTTCTTCTAACTGTACCACAAATTCAGCAATGTTGTTGCTTGGTCCCACCTTTTGCCTTTGTGATGGCCTATTTAAAGCAACGCTGGCAGTGAATCAGTGGTCTGGTTTTTGTTGGGTTTCTGGTTGGTCCGTTCATTTCACTTTTTTGAGTCGGGGGCAGGGATCACCTTTTCCCTTCTTTTTTTTGTCGAACACGGCATTTATTGCCTGGGTTCTGAAACCATGCTGAAACTTTCATTTGAGCATTAATTTTTTTAAACAAATTAACATCTTCCCATCAGAAAGTGCGTCTTTGATGGCAGTCCCTGCTGCTACGTCCGACTTGGACTGACCAGCTGACCCCAGCAAGCTCATCGGTCGAAAGATTAAGGGGTCGGCACTAGTAAGCCGGAGGTTGTGGGTCCAAGTCCCACCCGAGTAAAGCTTGTGAAATCTTTTGAGAGCTCTCAGCAAACACCGAGTACACAGTGTGATTGGTGTGAGGGCAAAACCCCAAATTGATCATTAACATGTTCCAGACGCAAAGTACATCTTTGGATATTATTTGTCATTTAAGTGCTTTATCATACCAGATTTGTACTTTGTACAGTGTATGTTACAAACACACAATGGACTAATCTGAGATGACGCCACATCTGGCGGCACCACACTCATACGCACATTCTTCAGCTTATCACATGTGTGCATTTGACAAATCACGACACCCTTCGCTTGCATGCCATCTGCCTGCAAGCGTTGCGCCACCGCTGTAATGGCTCCGAATTCCAGTTGTCGAGTTACACTACACATGCATATTTGGGGAATGCTGCAGATTGATACAAACTTGCACAGCTCTTCCCCTCTGCTGCCCCATTTAATCACAGCGAATTCATCATGGGAAACTTCATAATTTCATAGTCTACAAACCAAGCACCCCCCCTTCTGCTTGTAACCAGACCACACGTACAGTGCAAACATAAAGCTTTTGCTTTTCATTGAAGATGCTGGTACTGTGCATGCGTACTATGCATCTTGATGTCNCAGACAATGAGACGGCAACCGAGTGAAATACATGTATACATGTGCCTCAGCAATGCACATACCCATTACTTGATCTGCATTATCAAGTGTTACCTGGCAGTGCAAAGTGAAGCCTGTTGGGTGCATCCATGTTTGTTCACAGACCTAAGGAAAACTCAATATAGCTTTTTTATGAGCACGAGCACGACCAAGAGAGGGTGCAATTTTCCTAGTAACAGAGGCTTCTTTGGTAGGAACTTCACTTCATTGGTTCACTAACGAATATGAAATGCGTGTGTTGCAGTCGTGTCGCTACCAACAAAAATGAACACTCTCAAGCAGCTTGGCTCTTTTTCAACTGATGAGGGGGTGCTTCCGCTCAAGGCAGATAGGTATTTGCCTACATGGTGTATATCAACATCTGTAGTCACAAATAATGGGTCAACAAAGCCACCCAAATCCACAATCAGTAAATGAGCATTTCATGTGGTTCAGTGTGAACCAAAGATGAAAACTACGGCTTATTAAATGTCATACTGACAGGGAATGCACTTGTGTTTGGGAATTTTGTACTTGGCGTATCTAACATGATGTTTTCTCTACTTCCAATTACCCCACCCCCCAAGAATGAAAATTCAGATCTATGCTGTGCCCTTGGTCCTACGGAACGCTGGGATTGCTTGTGGCTGCCGAGCTGCGAATCGTGCCCGCTAAGAAGTATGTGAAGATCCAGTACCGGCCAGCCCCCTCCATGAGCGAAGTCATCAAAGTGTTCTCTGAGGAAACGATGAAAAAATCCAACAACGAATTTGTGGAAGCACTGATGTACGGTAAGGAGGCAGGGGTCGTCATGACGGCAAATATGACCGATGATGCAGAGGAAAGTAAGGTAAACATGTGGTGACATCACTTATGACTGGGAACCAAAACGATTACAAAGAAAAGCTGTCAAGCGTACTTACAGTATTTGTGTCCTTGAGCAGGGTTGCATACCTCCATTGCTCTTCCCGGACCCTGTTTATAACAAATGGCAATTTTCAAGTTCAAAATTTCTGAGTAATAAATGCCATACCATCTGCAGTCTTACGCGCCTTGATAAAAATTCCCCACCACCCACCGATTTCCTCGCAGACAAATTCTATTCGGATCATGCAATTGGTCTCAACTGTAGCTGAACCTGTTTCCTGGAGTGTCACAGATTGTTCCTATCGTACTTTGCAACTGAGACGTGATGCTTTTTGGACAGCAACCATACATGTTGTCTGTTATAATAAAGCCGAAAACAAAGCAGCCTTTCAGGTGAAAATATTTCCATTTAGTACTGGTGGAAGAGGCCTTTCTGGAGTTAGTCTTGGTTCCAAAACCTTGCATTTATTCAGCAACACAAACCATCACAAATCGCTATCAGCAAAAAATGAA